GTTTTGTGTTTAAGTATGAGTTTGAGTTCGGAAATGCGGCGATCGTTAAGAGATTTAAAGTTGTTGGCTATGAGTGTGCATCTCAAATCACTAATGTTATGGTTAGGAGAATTGAAATGTGTGGCTATAGGAAGGTTCTTATGGGTGCGGATAGATGACTTGTGATTGTTAAATCTACTTCTAAAAGAATTGAATTGAATTGATTCTCACCATCTCTTTATTCCGTTCTATATCGATAGCTGATATGTACTTTCCTTATTTACACCTCTTTATTATTATTTTTATTTTTATTTTTATTTTTATATTTTTACATGTATATTATTTATATGTATATATTATCTTTATCTGTACATTATATAGCCTATTTATAAGCCTATAGGTTTATTTTGGTTTGTTTTTGTTTTATTCATATATTCCATCTTTTACTCTTTAAGACGTCATAATCATTTACTTATTGTGTAGTTAAGTCCGCTTCCCATCATATTGTTCTACTATGTACGCTTAATTAAGAATTGTTTAATCTATAACACCACTATCTCTATATTTGACCGCTTTGTTCTCTGTCGGATTTCTCTTTATATATTACCGCATAAACTATCAGAATAAGAGACAGCTATCAGATAATTGGCCTATAATCCGTCTACACCTCTATTGTATTGTTTATATTGTACAGTATAGAACTTGTAACAGCCAACTTGTACATTCAGTAAAGCTGATGAAGGCCAGAGGACTGGCCAAAAATTTCGTTCGAAAATAAATGAAGTGTTCTACAGTCTACATGCCTTGTTGTCATAATTTTTTGTTTCAACGACTTATATATAATTTGAAGAACACACGTGGATTTACAATGATATATATATATATATATATATATTACACGTATATACTTCTAAAAGTCGTGTATCATGCATAGGAACGTTGACGCCTGCAAGGCTCTGGTTTTGACCATGATGACGTCATCAAAATATAAAAAGGTGTCACATATATGAAAGAGAATTGTCTCAGCTATAACATACTCAAAGTTGGATGACGATCGATCAAGGATAAGCGAGATACGCTCAAATGCGTATTTTCAAAAATGATGTCATAGCTATAATTCACTTCCTTGAATTCAGATGCCAATATGATGACGTCACAATGTCCGATCAGCCATTATGACCTATAAAATCATATTTACAACTTATGTGCTTTCAGAATATGTAATAAAAATTGGGGGTCACCTTTCAACCTAAGGAGCTATAACTGATTAAAATAGGTCTGATTTCATCATAATTTCACTGTATAGCTGCACAAATACGCGCAAAGATACCTATGTTCGATGCGCACGTACGGCATTGTTATTGGCCAAAAGATGACCTAAAAGAATGCAAATTTGTGAAAACAATGTCAGGAACCCAAAATATGTAAAAAAAACCTAATTTCTAACTTCCATACGTACTGCGCAAGTAAAAGTGCACGACCGTAGTGGAAAATTATAAAAAATTTTGAAATGCTCAAAATGGCCTGAAACGTGCTCTTATTTGGTTAAAAAGTGATTTCTAGCATTTTGAAATTTTGACGCACGCGTGAGCGCGCATTATGAAGCGCACGCGTAAAATTAGGGTACAGTACATTCAACGTTAACCCAAAGTTAATGCTCACTTTTACGATTTTGAAATGGCAATTGGTTAGGCTGATATGATCGATAATGTAAAAACGCAAAATTGCACGTAGATGACGTCACGCATGACTGAGCGCGTTGAAAACCTTACCATGACTAT